CCATACTCCTGTATGGTCCAGAAGTTGTCATACTAAAAAACTTGACACTGTACTTAACAGTGAGCAGAAACTCGTAACAGGCTGCACAGTTTACACATACACAGATGTACTTCCTGCACTCTTGGTCATTAGATCAAGAGACATAAGAAGACAGACCCTAACTGCTCCTCTCCTGCCAAGTTTCTGGGCTTGCAGAGCGCCCAGGAGGCCAAGTATTGTGGCCTTGTGTGTTGCACCAAATTTAGATAAGGGGTGGGGTGAATGGAAATCAAATGATCATTCGAACTAATCCTGTCTGGAATCTATTCCTACAGAATGTTATACCGACACTAAATGAGTCCCCCACTGAGCATGACCTTGACAGAGAAGTGCGGGTCAAGCTGAAGACTGAGATCTGGATACGGATGCTTCAAAATAACCCTCTTGGACAGCCCCCTGTGTGAACGTGGTGTCCAGCAGGGAGCATAGCACTTAATCAAAAGCTGTAAGCTTTACAAATAACGAGACAGGGTAGATGGAATCCACATACTGAATGATAATACCAGACAGTGGCTTGTAGCTGGCTGGAGGAAACAAGTGGGGGGTTGGAAACAGGGGCATTGCCACCTTGGGTCACTGAGATTCTGGGGGCAGGGCCAGCCTGGTGCTCCAGCAGACTACAGGAGCTCTGGACTAGGCTAGAGCACCATCCTGGGAGAAAGGGTGAGCAGGGTGCTGCAATGCTCTATAGGATGTTGGTGGAATGCCACCTATTGTGAATTGTGATGGGATGTGGTACAGATATTTATTACAGTGCTCTAACCTACAGCACTCAAGTTTGATACCGCATCAATCCATAGCTATTTTAGAGCAGGATCTGCCATTTTTTCAGTGCTCTATGGGTCCTGACCATCTGTTCGGTGACAGCTGTAGAGTACTTTCTGCATGCCTACTGCACAATAAGCGTTAATTTCTGTACCTGGCGTCTGTGGATAAAAGTTGGGTTTTTTTCTGTAATACTCCTATTACTTAAAATACCCAAATGAAATGAAACCTCCTTCATGACCTGGAAATTCAAATGTGACTGCTCTCCAGTAAAGTCATACTGAGCTGCTGACCAAAAACAGATGACAAAGAATGGGCCTTTCTCAAACATGCCCCTACTTTAGCTAAAGGTTAATTTAACACATACAACCTTAATGGATATTTTAAAGTGTGTATGTGTCTGTGTGTGTGTGCACGCATGCATTGTAGATCAAAGCAGGGATAAAGAAATAATCATAATGGATCAGGCCTAAGGGCCCTTCAGTCCAGTATCTTGCCACTTACAACAGTACTAGATGCTTCAGAGGGGGCACGTCTACATGAGCTGTTTATTACGGAGTTTCCTGATTAACTCCACAGTAAAGCGTAACCGTCTACAGGTGTGGTGCTATTAGGATGGAGTAAGCTAATTAAATCTGTCATAGGATAGTAGTGTCAAACACAAGCTGACAGGCTCACCTCTGGGGGGCCCCTGCTGGCTGGGGGTGGTCCGTCCTGGCTCAATGTGCTGCGGTACCAGGCACACAAGCAAACGGCACGCCCAGGAGCAATAAACTCTGGGGTAAAGTATGCCAGATTTTATTCAATCACCTTAGTAGCATATGTAGATGCACCCAGGAAGATGTAAATAAGTAGTAGGCAGAGTTGGGGGTAACTGGTTAGAGCTCATCCTGGGCTCCAGTTGTTATTGATTAACTTAAAGCATGAGGAATAGCACCCCTTCCACACATTTGTTATCATAAATTATAACTGTAGATATACTTGAGAGTCACATAAATATGCGATTTAAAAAATGTATTAAGTCCTTCCAAATTCCAGTTGTAATGATTTTCACCATCTTATATGTTGTATGAAAAAAAATCCTTTAAATTGGTTTAGAATTCCCTAACTTCTTATTCCACTGAGTGGCCCCTTGTTTTTGATTAATGAGACAGGGAGAACAAGAAATAATTTAAGCCATTCACAATTTTATATACTTTTATCATACCCTACTCTTTTCAGTCTCTCTAAATGTGAGGGTTTTTTTCCATACCCCTCTTCATTTTCCTGACTCTTTGAATACCACCTGCTCAGCGATACCTGCTTGGATATGGAATGATATGTACTGAACACTGTGTTCCAGATGAGGTTGCAAAATGTATGTATATAAAGGAATTTTAATAGTCATTGTCTAATTCACCATATAATTCTTTATGTCACCTTTTCTGACCACAGCATTGTTTAATTGCCTAGCGTGACTTCCCTTTCTGGAGTTGATACAGTTAATTTGTCCTTCAAACATGTTTTACTTTACAATTACCCATGCTACATTTCATTTGTAATTGTGTTTTCTGCTTCTCTCTCTCATTTAGGTCTTTTTGACCTACATTTCCCCATGTTGATCTATGACCTAGACAACCCTAATTAACATGCATTGCCTGCACATGTTGCTGTGTCAGTGCTCATTTCCCTTTCCAGGATATTGATGAATATTTTAACTAGTATGGAACAAAGTACTATGCAATACCCTGATATCAGATGAAGACTAACCATTTATTTTTACAGGTTGATTGCTGTCTGTTGAGCAGTACTTGAGCTTAGTGAAACTACATTAGCTATCATCCCATAACTACTTTAATTTTTTATTCCTGTGAAGGACATTGTCAAAGGCCTTTCAGGAGTCTAGATGAAACATGTCAACCAATTAACTGTTCTTGGTTCACTACACATTGGCATATTCAAAGAATTCTAAGGAATGGATAAGACATGAGTTTCATCTGCTAATTAATAAACTAGCAAATTCCTTTGCTGTCATATCATTAGAATACCAATATGTTGGGTAAAGTTGTAAGGCTATGTGGCCTGCTTAAGGCTCCCCAGATCAATCCTAAATTTAGGTACATTTCCCAGCCTCATAGTAGAACATATTGAGATTAATTGTGCTACTATATTTAAAGCACAAATTCCCACTGATTTTGAAAGGAAGCATGCAAGAAGTATGAATGTAGAAAAGCTGACAGGAGAACTTGAAGAGGTCCCATTGGTGCAGACTGAAAATAATGTTACAGTCTGAATCCTGGTACATCCTCTGCTTAAATCAGAGGATTTAAGGACTAATCAGGAAATCTAACATTAGTGGAAAAACTACATAAAATTTATGTTCGCCTCTGTACAACACACCAACTTTTTGTGTGGATACCTTCTATAGCAGCAGCTGACAACCTTTACAGTAGAGCTGTGCAAAGCTTCGGTCCCTGATTCGATTCAGCGGAGATTCAGCCCGATTTGGTGGCTGAATCTCCTAATCCAAATTGAATCAGAGGACCCTTTAATCTCTCTGAATCAAATCAGAACTATCCAAATTGATTTGGAAAGATTCAGAGATTCGGACATAGAGACAGCTTTAAATGTTTTTTCTACATACCTCTAGGTGCAGGGGCTCATGAGTGCTATGATGCTGGGGCGCATGGAATGTCCCACAGAAGCACAGGGGGCTCCCCACCGTGCTTGGCAGCAGACCTGGAAGTGGACCAGAAACACTTCCGGTCCACTTCCAGGTCCACTGGGGAGTGCGCTGGGGGGGGGGTCCCTCTGGCTCCCCCCATCTCCCCCCCCAGCTCAGTAGCTGGTGCCTCCTGGGTCTGGGGGGACACCCGGGGTCCTCTTGTGGATGATCGCGGAGCCAGCGAGGTGCGGGGGGGGGAAGTGGACCCAGAAGTGGACCAAGTTCGCCACTGAGCACATGGAGGGGATGCTTCTGTGGGATGCTCCATGCACCCCAGCATTGCAGTGATCACGAGCTGCGCCTGCTACCTCAAGGTATATAGAAAAAAACTTTTGAAGCTGTGACTATGACCGAATTGCTGATTCTCCAAATCAGCAGCGAACTTTCAGATTTGGATTTGGCCAAATCGAATCAGGGACAGTGATCCGAATCAATGAATTGAATCACTGTCCCTGATTTGGGCTGACTCCGAATCCAAATCGAATAGGGCCCGCTTCGCACTCCCCTACTTTACAGGCCATGGGCTGGAATGAACCAGCTTTGGTCAGGGGTAGGCAGGTGCTAGGACCTGTCCACCACCATTTCTTCTTGTCGTGGCCTCAGGGAAGTCCCTTTTGCTGAACACCACTGATGCTTCATATCCATTGGCCAAATCCAAGGGCTTCATGGGCTGGATATGGCTTACAGGCAGTTGGTTGCTTGCCTTAATACAATTTGCAGAGCAATAGCTACTTTCTATTCATTCTACACTGAGAATGTTGAATAGTGCTTAGTTCAGATTTTATAACAGAAGAGAGTTGCAGGTAATCACTGGCCAAAAACTGCCACTTAAAAGGTGAGTTTTGAATTCATTTAGCAAAGGGGAACAAGAAGAACAAAAATGATTCAACTTTCTTCTAGCTCTCCTAAAGTGACAAAGGAAAAAAGGCAGCTGAGAGGTTCTAGCTGCCTTTGCAGCTAATGACTGAAAAGAAAATTCTTATCAGTTAAATAACAAAGAGGAAAGACAGAAGATAATGTTTCAAAAGCATTTAAATCCTATTGACATCCATTATTTCTTTTTTTCCTACCTGCTGTTTAAAAAACATTGAAAATGAGGATCAAAGAATGTCTTTATTTTTATGGGGTTCTGCTTACCCATGACTACAAATTCATGAATAGTTGTAACACCATTGGAGATGGCCAAATGGCTAGTAAGACTGTGGTTTTACTAGTCTATATCTTTTCAGCCTGTTTGAATCTAGTTTTTAGGGTTGTAGCATTTCCTGAATGGAGGAAAAAGAAAAACATCTTTGGTTTGATTAAATGCAGATTGACTAACCTTGAACAGAGAATCAGAGAAAGCAGAGAAAGTTAGAGAGAAGCTCTGTGACTATCTTTTGGTATGCTTTTGATATGTGTATTTCTGTACACTGTAAGGGAGTGTCACAGAGTAATGTTGCACTTTTTGTGAAGGCTGAAGAATTTCACATTTATGTAAGAGGTCCAAGCTTTGATTTGTCTTTATTTAAATAAATTGAAAGGATAGTAGACCTCTGCTTGGATGCCACCATTCCTAATTTTAAGTTTCCTTGCATTGTTATTGCACATTGGACTGCTTCTGATTGACTTGTTTTTTTTCCATGTTATGACTGCATACTTTCTGTGAATAAGAGGAAAAGAGATTGTTTTAGGATACATTATGACAAATTAACATTTCTGTCTTGATACAATTGTGCTTAATATTTTTATTTTTTGCAGTTTACTGGAAGCACCTGGGAGGTAAATCTGGCATGTACCTTAGATGTGAAAATGAAGCAGTATTTTGTCAATCAGACCAACTTTTTGGAGTTTATATTTATTTTGAAATGGAACAGATTATTCCACTTTAAATGAAGTCCAAGAACTTGGGCACAGTCCCCCAAGAAAGAGAAAAATATGTAAAGAAAGTCTGATGAAATATACAGGCAAATGCTTACCTTTATAGAATTATTACCACCATCATTCCTGATGTAATAATTTCTTCATCTGAAAATTGTAAATGATGACACCTATCTACTGTTGTAAAAAATTAAGACCTGTGAATATAAAATGCTATGTAAGTGATATGTATTATAATTATTCTAGTGAAATACTCCCAGTTAACTGCAGGAGTACAGAAACACAGACTTGCCGTTTTATTGCAAGTGCTAGTCATGTAAAAATATAAATTGAACCTTTAAAATGAGAAAATGAGGACCATTTATAGATTAGCTCTAGCAGCAACAGCAAGATATTCTGGACATGGTGCTGAAATGGTCATCTAATGTTAGAAGGTTGTGGGTAATGATTCTAAACTATAGGGCAGGCACTCAAACTAAACATTAAATAGCGAACTATCTGACTATCTGTATGACTATCTCAGATGCAAAAGTGAAAAAGATAACTCAAGATTTCTACGGTCCAAGATGAAATTTTGGCTGAAACATGGGGCCAGGGTTTCCATGGGGACCAGCCCCAACAGTGCTGGCAGGGGACGCGGCTGGGTGGGGAGTTGCTTCAGGGCTGGGATCTTGCCGGGATGACGGTGAGGTCCAGAGCTGGGGCAGAGCTGTTCAACTGCCCGCATGCCCTGGGTAAGGGTGTGCAAGTAGTGGATCATGGTTCTACCTTGTCTCTGGACCATGCTGTCCCCACTGGAACATCCCAGCCCCAACTGCAGAGCATCTCCTCACCCAGCCACTCACCCTGCCAGTGCTGCTTGGGTCAGTCTCCATGGAAACCCTGGCCTCTGCTGTTAGGATGTCACTGCTGCTGGGGTTTCCATGGAAACTGGCTGCTGCAACACAGGCAGGGGCTGCTGGGAAATGGAGTCTGGCCACTGGCCAGATCCACCATTTTGTCTACCCCTGGGGCAAAGAAAGAAAGGGCAGAGGGACAGGCAACCTTTGAGCAGACACAAAGGACAGGGCCAGGGAGGGACTGGGGGAAGACTTGTTTATGGTAAACTTATGCAGAGTTTAGATTATGGTTTTTATAGGATAGTTTGGATAGGGATGATCTTGCCTCAGGTAGGGGTCTGGACTAGAAGACTTCTGGAGGTTCTTTCCAGTCCTTCTCTATGATTCTATGACTTACCCCACATCACGAGAACTGCAAAAGGAGGTCACATTTGTCCTGGGATAAGCCATCTTATCCCAGGACACAGCACAATCATGCAGATGCCCACATTTGTCATAGGGGAATACATCCTAAAAAAAAAATTCATGGGATATGAAGCACTGTCGGCTTATTCTGGGATATCTCACACCACATCTGCATGGCTGTCATGGGCTAATATGGTTAAATCAATGGTTTGATCAATGATCAATGGTTGGATCAACGATCATGGATCAATAGTCAAATTGATGATCAAGGGTCAATGGTTTGGACAACAATCCTAGGTACTGACCAAAGATTATGGGTCACTAGTCAAATCAATGATCAAGAACCAATGGTTTGCCAATGATCGTGGGTTAATGGTCAAATCAATGATCATGAGTCAAAGATCAAGGGTCAATGGTCTGGTCAATGATCAAGGGCCAATGGTCAAATTAATGATCATGGGTCAATGAACCAATCAGCGATCAAGGGTCAAGGGTCCATTTGGATGCATATCTTGCTGGGATTCTTTGACCCTAGCTGACTTCCTGCCTTTTGGGCAGGGGGGCTGGACCCAATGTTACAAGGTCCCTACCAGCCCTTATGTCTACGAAATCTATAGAATCTATGAAATCCAATCAACGATCAAGGGTCAATGGTCAGTTTGGATGCTTATCGTGCTGGGATCCTTTCACTCTAGCTGACATCCTGCCCTTTGGGCGGGGGCTGGACCCGATGATCTGACGAGGTCCCTTCCAGCGCTAATGTCTATGAAATCCAATCAACGATCATGGGTCAATGGTCAAATCAAAGATCAAGGGTCAATGGTCAAATCAATGACCATGGATCAATGGTTTGGTCTATGATTAGTCAATGGTCAAATAATGATTGTTGTGGGTCAAATCTATGATTGTTTGGTCAACGGTTGTGGGTCAATAGTTCGGTCAACGATTGTGGGTTAATGGTCAAATCAAAGATCAAAGGTCAGTGGTCAAATCAACGATCATGGATCAATGGTTTGGTCTGATTGTGGGTCAAATCACCGTCGTTGCGGGTCAAATCTACGATTGTTTGGTCATTGACTGTGGGTCAGTAGTTTGGTCAACGATTGTGGGTCAATGGTCAAGTTGACGGTCATGGATCAATGGTTTGGTTTAGACGGTCAATTCTACGATCGTTTGGTCAACGACCCTGGGTCAGTCGACAATCAGGAGTCAACGCTCAGCGGGTCGGTGAACGATCCCGGGCCAGTGGTCAACTCGAGGGTCAGGGACCCACCGATGGGGCCGGCCACCCCCGAAGGGCCGCGCCT